AAAAAAAATAAAAAAAAAAAAAAAAGCAGAAGAAGAAGAAAAAAGTTCCCAAGATGACTACCTTGTCTGCTATAAAGGCTTTTGGAAAGGCCTGTGTGCGTGAGGCCACAGCGCACATTCCTGGAAGTGTTCGGTTTCCCTACATAAAGTCATTGGCAGGCTGCACTTCCGAGTCTCTGTTGCAGTCATAAATGTTCATGCTGTGGACCCTAAAAGTGAGGAAGAATGGGAGAAAGATGGGACGATTATAACCGCTGTCCCCAAGCAGCGTACAGAAAGGGGGTCAGCTGGCAAGCAGGACCCGCAGCAGAATGTGAGCTTGACTTCACCAGGCACTGCCTGCCTGGGGGACATCATAAGCTGTCACATCCCCTGTCCCTTTTGAGAGGCAGTAGGTGCAATGGGAAGATGCCAGCCCTGGACCCAGCCTTGCCCTGGTTCAAACTCTGCCTCCTGCGGGCCCGCAGGACCTCAGGCCAGCCCTGTGGCCCTTCCATGTTCGGTTTTGTTGTTGTTATTGCTGTTCTGCTTTGTGTTGACTGTAAGGTGGATTGTGTTATCATTCCTACATATTTCCTGTCCTTCCTCTAGAGGACTATACATCCCCACCCTGTTGCCCTAAGATTTGGCCATCGTAATTTGTGTGAGCGGAAATGACGTGTTAGTTCTGGGCAGAAGCCTTAAGAGACGGCACATGTCACACTGAGCAGCCAGTCCTCTCTTGGCCATGGAAGGATTCCAAGGTAAGCTGGGGCCCTGCACAGTGGCTTCTGAGCTCACTTGGGTGGGAGGGATGAAGATTTATTGCTTGGAATTGAACTTTATAAATCACAAAAGAATAATGACTTAAACAGAAGTCTGTTTCTCTTTTATGGAGCTCAGAAACAGGCAGCCTGTAGTATGGTGATGTCACATAATTATCAGAGATCTGAGCTTCCCTCAAGCTCTCTGCTCTGTCATTTGTAGGATATGTGACCTTTATCCTTATGGTCCAAGATGGCTACTAGAGCTCCAGCCATTGCATCTGTGTTTCAAGCAGTGGGATGGGGGTGGAGAAAAAAGAAGGAAATACCCCTTTCTTTTCAAGGAGACTTCACAGAAATCCCATATAATAGAAGGGTGGGAGGAGAAAGTGGCTTTGAGAGAAAAAGAGAAGAAGGAACAGGAGAAAAAGGAGACAGAGAATAATCAAAGCCACTGAACCAGGGCTGGGGATTTAACTCAGTGGTGTCACATCTGCCTCGCAAGTTCAAGGTCCTGAGTTCGATCCCCAGTGTCGAGAAAACAGTAAAACACTAGACCAAAGCAAGTGTCCCTTACTTATAGAACAAGTGGGCAGCAACAAACAGTACTACAGTATTTCCATGTCCTTTGTGGGCCTGGGATCATAGCTAAGGAGGATGCAAGAGTATAGGCTTTCAGCTTCTATCTTCTTGAGATAGAATTGAGAATATATTGAGGTTTGTTTGTTTGTTTTGAGACAGAGTCTTGCTCTGTTGTTTGGGCTAGCCGTGAACTCACTATGTAGTCCAAGCTGGTCTTGAACTCACAGCGATCCTCCTGCCTTAGCCTCCCAAGTGCTGGGATCACAGGTGTGTGCCAGCACACCCAGCTCTCCTGGAGAATATAAAAGAAACACTGGAGGTCAAGCTGAAGGAGAGTCTATATCTTTCAAGCCAGGAGGGAAAGGCCAAGGTCCAAGCTAGAAGGTAAACGGCAGGACTGCGGATCATTCAGGATGGGCAGCAGATCAAATAGATGCCAGGCTGCTAGTCACTGATGCTGCATCTCACAGGAGTCCAGGCACAGGCTGCAGGCTGGTGCTGGCTCTGCTCTGTTCTGTAGGGCCTGCTGGCCAGTGTGAGATTAAAAGAACAAGTTTTCCTTTTCTTCCTTTCTCCCCCACCCCTCCTTCCTTATCTCTCTCTCTCTCTCTCTCTCTCTCTCTCTCTCTCTCTCTTTCCTTTTTTTTTGTGTGTG